TATGTTTGCTGCTAATCCTCATTACCTAAGTTTTCGCAGTGCTTATCTCTTGTCATACTTTGTGCATGCTTGATATAAGGGGTCAATATGGTGTTGTAAATTATGTTCTTGGTCGTGTGTTAGACTGATTATCTCCAGAAAGAAGTTCATTAATTTTTGCAGTGTCTGTATTTGCCTCCTGTGATTTTCTGTCCATGTAAGTAATAAACAACAGCAGCAGCAGGAGGATGAGGAGAATAGCCAGAATTATCTGTAAGCAAAAAATCTATAAAAGGAAGGGTACTGGTCGACCCGCCTCATGAAGTTTCGAGCCAGAATAGGCCAAGAAACGAAAGCAACGCTGGCCTACGCGTTGGTGGTTTACATGTCAACCGAAGGTCTTCGGTTCGAATCCGCATGGATGCGCATTTATTGCAACTGACCTTAACTTGTGTGCCCAGCAAGCTAAAATGGGTATCACAAAATGTGATATATGAAAGCAGCTGGCATGATGTTTAGGTCATACATCGGCTACCGAATTGCCCATTGGCTCGCTGGTAGACGACTTCGTCGCAGGTCGGGGCAGTATTCGGGTCTGTCTGTGTCAGAGGCCAGTTCGGCTACGGGATGAACGGAGTTGATGATAGTGAATCATCACGTATGAACGAGCTGACCCTCAGTAAAACTCAGTGTGAGACCGGGCAACTTGACCACGGAATAAACTGGCTCGAGTTAACTGGCGAAGCCTAGGTCCCACGGTTAACACGTATTACGGTGTGTCGAGAGATGAACGTGTGAGGGGAACAAAAAGGCTTGGACAGAGCTCGCAGGAGAGTTGTGTAGTAGAGACTGGACTGGACCAGACGTAGTGCTTCGACGGGTAAACGTATCTTAGTTTAGTGACGGCTAGATTGAATAGTATTTGTGGTTAGTATTTTTGAGATAGGCTGTGTTTCCATTTAATGTTTCGACGAGATAGTGTAGAGTTAATGTTCTTTGTATAGTAGACGTTCCACGCAGTATTTGTTAAGCAGCTAGTGAATGTTTGACACGCATTGTTAATGGCGCTAACACTGCCCAGTCACACTTAGGCCATACACCTTATGTGTGTCACTGAGTCCCGCGTGGCAATAGACAGCGGCTTAGTCAGCACTGATAAACTGTTAGTTTGGAATCGTGTCCTTGGGAATCCATGGGAACGGCTCGGGTTGACCAGTGAATGTAAAAGCTGCTCAACGCCGGCGTTCAGGATAAGGACTGCCAATTTGGTTGATGTGTAATAAGTTGTATTGTTCGTTGTACATTAAAGATTATGTTTGTACTCAGCAGGTGCGTGTCTTAAGTGTGTCGTAGGGTAGTGAAGTCTGTTAGCTGGCCTACCTAGCGAGCCATAGAAAATGAATTAGTAAAGTAGGTCTCTGACAGTTTGCTTTGATCGAATTAGAGTTAAATTGAGTCAAGAATTGACATCACAGCACTCGGGGCATTCCTATGCGTGCCGCGTCCTCATCTTCAGCAGCCAGCGCAGAGTTCCAATACTGGTGGTACCCGCCACAATCTGGTTATATGTCCGTCTTTCCTTTCCTCTGAATGTAGTGAGCCGGCCAGGCCCTCTGATTATACCCCAGTGCCTCATTCTCTCCAGGCCATAATAATCTTGATCGCATTAATACTGCAGGATTCATTTTCCCGGCTCTTGGTCGCATGCAATGCTGACAGCCATTTTAGATGGCGCAGATAACCTAGTCACATTTATAATCAGAAGCTACGGAGATGGAGGTTGACTGTGACGCTTTTTTTCGAGCAATGTAACGGAACGCATGTTGAGTGTAAACTGGGCTAAAAAAAGCAGAGTATAGCATAATATGTTTAATGTGGGTGACTTAAATATTGTCATTTATTCTTTACTTTTTGTATACTAATGAATATTGCTATAAACGTCCGCATCGGTATTTGCTAAAGGGCTACCGTGTTTTATAACTTATGAGGCTTCGAGATCTACAACTATTTTTGGAATTATCTTGTTATCAGTAAAGAACTAAGGATCGGCTTTTGTGACAGGCTTGTTTAATGAATATGTCAGATTTAAGGTCAAGTGTGTTACGGTATCATGATTTTCCGATGGACCACTATGTTACAGTGTTCTTAGTGACATAACCCGTTTACGTAATTATTAGTTGTTTTACTTGATGTAGCGTGTTTTCTCGTTTGAACATGTGCGTTTTCTTGATTCATGCAAAGAGAGATAGAAAAAGGACCTTTGTTTTTGATGTTTTCTAATTTAAAAAAAAGAGGAGCTAATATTTATCATAAGGTGTCCAATAAAAGGTGCCGGTATAGACCACAGTGTCTTTTACAGAAGTATCAAAAATGATTGGCACTGCATACGACAGAAGGCTGCGGAAAGGCATGATGAGCAGGAATGCTAGAACCTGGAGATTCAGTCAAATTAAGCTCCCCTCCCCCCACTTGTTATTGAGGAAGAGGTACACTTAGCGTCCCACTCCCCCAATAATCTTTAGAGTGCCAAAGCCTCCCCCTTTCCCAAAGAAACAAGTTTCTCGAGTATTAGTGCCTCTTCCCCCCCGATCATCGTGTATATAGATTCTCTTTTTAGGACTATGTTTATACATATTTTATTATGTTTTTTTGTCATTCAGCAAATAATATTAATAATAATAATAATAACTGCACACTTAAATAAAGATTAAGCCCCTTGAGGTCATCCCTGTCCCCTAGAAAACTATAAAGAGGTTGAGTAATTTCCAAGCCCCACATCCCATGTATATGGATTATCTTTTTTAAAGAATATGTTGTATATAGGTTTTCATATATATATTTATTTTTCTTTGTTAATTCAGCAAATAATAATAATAACTGCACACCTAAACAGAGATTGAGCCCCTTGGCATCATCCCCTCCATTAGAAAACTATAAGGGCAATCAGCCATTTCTTTTCCTCCGTCCTTAAGTTTTCTTGATGCTGGCGCTCTTGATGGTTGCCAGTTCAACAAAGATTTCAAGAAGAAATCAGCTCCAGTAGTCAAAATGCTGGTATTCAGACTGATAACCTCTGTGGTCAGGAAGAAGAGAAACATAAAGAGTGCAAGGTGACTGGTCAGTCACCAGTGAATGAACACATAGTCCCTTTACACTAATGGATTCATATTGGAAATTGGAACGTAGGTGCCGGAAACTGGGCTCTCAAGATTACTGAGTTCCCCCCCCCCCCCATAATTTTGTAATAGAATTAAGAGACCCCAATTTAACCATGTATAGGTATTCTCTTTAAAAGTAATTGTATATATATATATTTCATATTAATTCCATCCAATTTGCATATCCTTAACAGGTTATCACAAACTAACTCCCCAACATTATTTTTCATTCAGTAGTTTGCTGTTGCTTTCCAAGTTAAAAGATAACAAATAAAAAAACTACATACTTTTTATTTTCTAAGCTGATGAATAGCTTTTTTAGTCCACAAAAGCAGTCAAGCAAATGTAAGGAACAATTACTACTATTCTTGATGTGGGTTCTAGGACCTAATTGTGGGGAAAACAAGAACAGACCCACTGCCTGCTCATAAGCATGTCGTAAGCATAGATTAACTGGGAGCTTCCCTTGAAGTTGGAGTACATATGCCTGAGAGGTAAGAAACCAACAGTCTGCATGAAGATGAGTCAGACTTAGGAAACGGATGTGCAAGCAAAATTCAATTTCTGGAACAGAACTAGAGTCCAGAAGCGGGCAAACAACCAGAACTTTCCACCAGAGTTTACAGACTGTGAATGAGAAGAAGAAAAAGAAGAAGAAGAAGAAGAAGTAGAAGATGAATAATAATTACCACTTTGTCAAAAGCATAAGCATTAAATATACCCCTTGTGGATTCAGGGCCTCATTATGAGAGAACAAAATAACAGACCAACGACCCCTAAACAAGCATGTCATGACTAATTATGACTCTGGATGTGTTGTGCTAAAGGCACAGATATCACAATCTAGCTGTAAACCACGACCCAACGTCCCAACTACCCTTTTAAGAATGAACACAGAAGAAGAAGAAGACATCACAGGTAAACCTATAGTGTACTGTGCAGTTGAATAATTCTGACGACTGCCTTATGCATTTAATGCTTGTGTGTGCTATTGGTCTTTGCTGAGACAATCAATTTCAGTTTGTTCACAAGTGACAGTAATGGACATTCTGTGTGGTTTTCATTGACACAGGAACGGAGCAACTATGGGGTGACTCATTTGCTATGAAGTTACAACTGTGGTTACCTAATTACTTAAAATTAATGTCTTATTCTTCTTCGTGTTTACTGGCTGTAAACTCCGGTGGAAAGTTCTTGTTGTTTTTCCACCTCTGGACTTTAGTCTTGTTCCAGAACCTGAGTGTTGCATGCACATCCATTAACAGATCTAACTTCATTGTATACAGATTGCTGGTTCCTTGCCTCTCAGGCAGATGCACTCCGATGAAAGCCCCCAGTTAGTTGACTCCTACGACATGATTGTTGGGGAGGCAGTGGGTCTGTTCTCATTTTCCCGATAATGGGACTCTGGAACCCACACAGGGAAACTTGGGATAAATGTGAAACACGCCATGTTTTACCAGATACACATGAACAGTAGCTGATCACTCATGATGTCTCGACTGGGACAGAAAGGATTACAGTACTCAATTCTCAGCGAGTTAAGTATCCTTCCTTCCAAAAGGCAATGTAGACATTGTAAATAATACTTTCATGCAGGTCTATCATACATTTTACATTCAAAATTCTTCAATAATAGCACAAGTCATTCACACATGACCACACACACTAAACATTTGACTCACTTAATTTTGTTATGTTGAGAAATTAACAGGTAGATTCACAGATTTAAGAAAATGAAATTACTTTTTCATTGTAAAAAATAGTATTTTGAAAACAGTTACAATGTGTCCTCAACAAATATCAATCATTAATAAAAAAAAAAAGTCAATATTAAAAATTTTTTGGGTGCCTTTTTAGTTTTTAGCCAATGTTCGTTTGAAGTCCACTCTCCGATAGCATCTTAACCTGTAAATACAATACAAATGTATTAATACTGCTGAGTTGAATATGTATTTTATGTAAAAACAGCAGAAAGAAAAAAGTAAAATAGCATTCATTATCAGCAAAGACACTGTACATTTATTGATTATTCCTTCTTCTTCTTTGCGTTCACCAGCTGTAAACTCCGGCAGAAAGTTCTGGCTGTACCATCCATCTCTGGACTTTAGACTTGTTTCAGAATCTGCGTGTTGCATTCACATCAGTTTTACAGATCTGCCTTATCTGTATGCAGACTGTTGGTTCCTTGCCTCTCCGGCAGATGCACTCTGACTTCAAAGGAAACCCTTAATTAGTCGACTCTTACGACATGCTTTTGGGGAAGCAGTGGGTCTTTTCTTGATTTCCCCAAGATACAGCCTTGGAACTCACACAGGGAGATTACTCTTGTTGTGGTTTATATTTAATAAATATTGTACAGTTACCAATATAGGACTGGTGTAGCTTTAGGGTGCCGGGTGCCTTAATTATGAGGTTCAACGAGGTATCTGGAATCTGCCTTGTTGGTCTGCTTCATAGACTGAGATTTGTTAATCTCAGGAAGGTATGGTAAACCTTTAGGTAGCAGCTCAGAGAGGATAAACTGATCAACTCTTTCAGTGTCAGAGTTGTATTGTGTCAACTCAGTAAAATTGAAAAATCAGGTCCATATCACCAAAATCATCCCATCTCCTAGAGCGTGAGATTTCCTGCCAGCTTCCATTCAAGCCGTGGCGGTTCCCATAGGGGTGTTAGATATGTGTTTCTTAGCCCTCACTGTTTATACACACCGTGCCAAAAAAAGCTGCTCCTGTTCATTCGAGGCCTGACATGAAAGTGTGGAGCTCTGTAAAGATCGACTGTTCAACTAGTTTTCTCTTTTCTGTCAACTAGGTTTCTTGTGCAACCGTCACTGATTCGAGAACTAGTGATATTTTGTGGCGGGCCATGGGTCAAGTCACCAAGTAAGACCACAGTAATAGCGATGAAGAGCGAAGGCACAAAGCAGGTAACACATACAATGACGGTCGCTCACAAAATGGAAATTAGAACATGCTGGCCACTCACAACGTAAAATATAGAATACTTATAGCGTTGACAGTAACAAAACATGACATCTCTAGAACATAACACTGTAGGAAATATTGCACCCTATGAGATAGGGTGATTTTCGTGATATGTACCAAAAACTGTTTCTCCAAAACACTGACACTTTGGGATAGAGAGTCTTATTAGCTACTTGAAACCCGGTAGCATAGCAGCTAGACACTTGTCTGCTGGCCTAAAGGTCTGGAATTAAAATCCACATCAAGTCAATCTTTTTCAAAACTGATCTTGGCTCCTAGGTCAACTCAGTCTGAAATAGGTATCAGGTAATGTCCTGTGAAGTAAATTCCGCTGGTTTAATGATGATCTCATTATCCATCAAGTGCAGATTGGTTTATTAAAATACAGGTCTAGAACTATATGCCTAATGGGCCAATGGGCTACTGTTTTCCAAAACATGCTTTGTCTTCTTTCCCTGTAGCAACAAAGAGTCGACATGCTAACAGTACCATCTGCAACCTGATTAAAAGTCTGCCTATGTTTTCCCCCTTAGTGTAGAACATCTTCCAGATCTCTTCTTACCACCCCCACCCCCTTTCCCTTTAATGAGTCTTGCAAGGTATAGATACTGTCCTGTTGCACTGTCCACTTGATCTCAGAGAACCCTGAGCATGTCCCAGAGAACAGTGACCATGTCTGCTTTATCATAAAGTATATCACTGCCCAGTGGAGCAGCAGCAGACATTCTAGCAGCATGCTCATTTCAGTGTACACTTGAATATCCTGGACTGAAAATCCATGTTCTGCTTCTGATCTGTCCTACCAAGAGATGAAAGCTACACTGTGTGTAGAATGCCAATTTTTAATTTCCTAAGCATGTTTTGTGAGACAGTCAAAATGACAATATGGAATTCCAGTGAAATTGAACTGAAAAGCTTAACCAAATGGAGAATCAGAAAAACTTTAAAAAAACAACACAAATAAAGTTGCAGTGTAGTTCATTTCATGTTACACAAAGGCTGCCGGCCAAAACGTTATTTGTGTTGTTTTGTGCATGTTTTTCTGCTTTCCCATTTGGTTAATAATTTTAGTCCCATTTCACTGAAATTTCTTGTATTAGCTTGACTGCAGTCACCCCCATATTTTAACATGTCACGATGTGCTGCCCTCAAGTCATCAAAAAGCTGCCATCACACCTTCACCTCCGTTTTCATACTGGATGCTGTGACATTATACACGAGTCTCTCAGTTTTCAACAATGTCTAATCACCTTTGCAATAAACCCCACCCACTCTTCTTACCTCTCACTACAGATCCATCTGTGTATATACAGAGATGTGTAATAATGTCACCTGGGTGTGCACTGTCATTGATCAGCTGTTGCATGTCTGTCTCGGTTTCACACAGCTTTAGAAACACACCACAGCTTACATTTTTATTTCTATGGTTTCATCATAACATACCTTGTCTATTTCATTGATTAAGGATGTTACTGTTGCTGCTAGTAAAGAGATCTTGCCTTCCAGATGAGATCTTTCATCTTGTAGCTTTATGATGTGATTATTACTGAGCATTCTGAAAAGTGGTATTAATAGAAAAAATAATTTGTAGTAGGCCCTAATCTCTTCTTAAGTACAACTATCGTACCACTGTGTGAAAACCAGAACAGACTTCTTTGTCTTTATTTTTTTCTTTTCTTCTTCGCCATTCTTGTTTGTCTTCTGTGTTCACTGAGCATTCTGAAAAGTGGTATTAATAGAAAAAAATTGAGTTGAGTATGAGTTTTACAACAATAGAAGTTATCTGCAGGATATCACTTCCTGACGCCCTAATATCTTCTTAAGTACAACAATCGTACCACTGTGTGAAAACCAGAACAGACTTCTTTGTCTTTCTTTTTTTTCTCTTCTTCTTCCCCATTCTTGTTTGTCTCCTGTATTCACCCTTAAAACAACAGTTGACACACTGTTCTGGTTTACAGGTGTGCTGTGATATCTGCACCTTTTGGGTCAACAAATCCAACTCTAGTAAGCTTCTAATTAGTCACCTTTTATGACAAGCTTATTAGACAGCAGTGGCTCTATTATTTTTGCTCCTCAAAATGGGTCACAGACCTATAGGGGAAGAACAGTTTAACCTGTGGTTTAAAGTTAGTAATCAAAAGAATTGATGAATGTCTTTATGTGTATTAACAGACCTGGATAAAAATGCTTGTTTGAACCAGTAAGTAGTGTTAAGTGTGTGTAAACACACTGTGTAAATACATTTGTATTTATCTGAATTAATAAGCATAGATCAAGTTCTTCTTCTTTTTCTGTCTTTTATCCTGCAGTGGAGCATAGACCCTCAACAAACTCCAAATCTTCTATCCTTTGCTAATGAGCGCAGCTCACCCATGTTCTCTCTGCCTTTTTACTTCATTCTCTAGCTCCCTTCTTTGTGTGTTCTTTTGAAGTCTGCCTTTATTTGTATGCTCCTGTAGATTCCAGTGCAAAGACATTCTAGTTATATTGTCCTGGCTATCCAGTGCCTGTGTGTATGTGTGTGTGTGCATGTTTGTATGTATGTGTGTATGTATGTATGCCTGTATGTGTGTATGTATGCAATGTATGCTTGTATGTGTGTGTAAGTGAGTGGGTGAGCGTGTGTATGTGGGTGTATGTATGCACGCGCAGGTTTTTGCATGCACTTTACAACTCATGCTTTTGTGTTCTTTTATAATATTCATAATATGCATATCATCATATGATCATAACATGCTTTATTAGTAAAATACAATTGCTGTGTGAAAGATGGTTGACTGGAAGGGCCGAATGTAAGACGGGCCTGCGTGCCCAATTTGTGACCCTTTGAAAATAAAGTTCGTTCGTTCGTTCGTGCCAGCATCCTTTCTTCACCTCTTGCTTCACTGGAATTTGTTTATTCTTTTTTCAAAGCTCAGCATTAGTGATTCTATCATACCATTTAATTCCATGTACTCTGCACAAGCACCAGTTAACACGTTTCTGCTTCATACAGGAGTAATGATTTAACATTAGAGTTAAAAGTTTTAAGTTTAATATTAGTTTAAAATTCCTTTGACTTCCACAAATTTTCTAGTGCAGTGAAAACGCCTTTTGCACTTCCCTTGAGTGTTGAGCATCGGTCAGATCCCATGGTAACTTCCCGCAGTGCCATTCTCCTCAGACCATAATGATCAATTTGTGTCTCCACACCGCTCACTCACTCCCAAAGGGCCCTCACAAATCTAGCTTGTCATACATCAGTTCATCACCAAGTGGTGCAGAACTGGCCAATCTTTCTCTCTGCTCATTTCTCAACATACCGGCCCCACCTGGAGAAAATATCCCAAGGACGCTAACTACCCAGGACCTCTGAAGCGATGCTTGCACCTCTGCACACAGCATGCCTGTCTCCACCTCTATCAACATACTCTGTGAGTCAGTTACAATTATGACATGTTTGTTCAGCTGATTCTCAATCCAGCAGAAGGCAGAAGTGCCTGCCTCCGCCTCCATTCTCAGACCAGATGTTGCGATATCAAATGCCAAGCTTTGTTGCACTAAGCAACATCCATTTGCTTTTGCTTATGCACTTCATCTACCTCTCAAAACAGAGCCATCTAAAAAGATAATCACGTCACCTGAGGAGGAATTGTCATGAATCATTTGCTGAACTTCTGATTCTGCAGCACCAGTTGGCCAATTCTTGCACACAGCCTAAAGATAAGAACCCTACACAAGTATGATTCTTGCTTAGACACTTCAGCGCACTCCTGACCTCACCCAAATTTATCAAGCCTGCACACATGTCCAATTGTGTCTTCAGTTCGCACTATCTAAAACCTTCCTCTTTTCAGTCTGTAACCCTTAGATCTAGTGCTTCATGTAGGAGGTGCTACTTGTCTGCAGCTACTCTGAGATATGACTTGGCTTGCAGAATTTTGAGTCTATTTGCAACAGTAGGCAGTGCATGTAAATATTGGATTCATACTACAGGGGTCATGGGCATTTATAGCTGGCTTTTCAGGCAGAACAGTTCAAGAAGCCAGCGATGCCTTTTCCATGACCACCAGCAGCATGACAATGGAGGGGATGGCAGTGACACCAGCTTTCTGGTGGCTAGAATCACAGGACTATTCCTGTGCGTGTGTGTCCTGAGTGATTCTTTGAGCATAATCCGGTGGACCGAGGCAGTCTGGTTATGCAGACAGTGGTTTGAGTCATTGTGAAACTCTCCTGTGTGTGCAGTTACCTTCATATTCGTCCCAAGGTATGCAGGCGTTGTTGGTAATGAAGGAGCTGATAGACTAGCAGGTGCTGCATTAACTGAAGATGGCTGGCCCATGTATCATGTAGACATTGTCATTCCCCTTAGAGAGATAGGACATTCTGAGGATTTTGGAAGCAACGTGTCCACATTACTGCTAAGAATACGTGAATTGGGAGTAAAGATCAGCACAGCCAAGCATGAGAAACACACCGGATGCACACAAAGTTTTTTAAACCAACATAGGACTGGTGCTATTAACCGTATGATGCTGATGAATATGTTGAGAGGGGAATCTGTGCTGTGAAGATAATCTAACTCTTAACTCATAACTTAACTCAGAAGTGTATCTTGTACATCCCAGAATTAACCGCATGGCTTCATTCTGTATGCATTCAAGTTTCATCAGTTGCCTCTTTGATATGGTAAGTCCATAATCTATCACTGACAGGATCACATGCTGAAACACTGTAAACATCATTCTTTGTTCCATTTCCATTGCTGCCATAATCTTGACAGCAGTGAGTACTTTTTGGCATTTCACCACAACTGCCTCAATATGATCCCTGAATGACAGGCTTCTATCGAAAAAGATACCCAGGTACCTTCTGTCATTAATTGTGGGGCTTGAAACTTTAGCTCTTATAATTCTATTGTCCAGACAGCACCACAAAACAGCCGCCTTTTCTGAGTTGATGACAAAACACAACAGTCAGTCACTTTGCCTACAGTTGCCTGTAGCTCCTGGGCTGTCTGTTGCCTATTGCTTTCCTGCCTATATGCAAATATCAATATCCTTCCAACACCCGGTGTTTCAAGTTCTGCAGTCTTGCTTGTATACACATTGAAGAGCACTGGTGAAGTTGCAGAAATCTGGGGTAGTCCATGGGTGATATAACATGGTTCTGAGGTCCATGTACCCAAGTGAAGGGCAACAATAAGTGAATCCAGGACAGCTGCTGTCTACTTCACCAGCCAGCGACAAACTCCCTTCTCCATGAGCACAGATATCAAAATATCATATCTTACTCTATTGTAAGCATCCTCATAATCAAGTGCTGCCACTACCATCTCCTGTATATTCTGGAACACCTTATAAAAATCATTAGCATAAGTAGATGCATTTAACCAGGTATATTTCCTTGGCAGGTAACTACCCAAACTTTTTGACACAAGCTCTTCTCTTTTCAAAAACATTTGTAGTTTAACAGCAATAATTTTCTATAGCACCTTGCCAAGCGTTATTTATAGGCTGATAATTTTGAAACTGTTGAGTCTGGAATGATCTTTGCCTGGTTGGAGAAGTGGAAGTAACTAGGTGTGATAGGCTGATCCTTTTTATGCATCTGTCTGTGAAGTTTCCAAAACCCACCCAGTGATTTATCCCCTACATTTTCACTCATAAAATGTTCCCATTTAGCCGTTTTTGAATCTGCTTGAACTCTCCTTCTTTTTCAACTCTTTCCAGCTTCTTTGCATTCTCTTGTAATCTGTAAGGTGTCTTATGCACTTTATATAATTGTTTAACTTTTGCTTGCATTGCTATCCATGCCTATTCTACTTTTTGGATCCACCATGGAGGCTGCACAAAAGCAGAGGGGGTGGTTCTGCTGCATACCTTCTGCATATCAAAAGAATTGAATGAATGCACTTATAAATATCAAAAGAAATGAATGATTCTGAACAAATCAAATCATTAGATGCAGATGAATATACTTACAAAAATGAAAAGAAGGATAGTACACACATTATTGAAGAAAGATAAATGTATATAAATAGACTGATGAAAATATATGGATGATCATATTTAGGTTATTCAAAAAGATTTAAGTGAATGTGGGATGTGGTAGTGTAGCAGCTAGGCGCTTTCCTGCTGGTCTAAAGGTCTAGTGTTCAAATTTGCACCAAGCCAGATTTATTTTCAACATTAGCTTTAATTAGCCCAGCCTAAGATGGGTACCAGGTAATGTCCTGGGAAATAAAAATGACCAACAAGTTGCTAACCCCAACACCCCCTAAGTGTCGATTGGTCTGTAAAGATTAAAGGTCTAGCACTATATGAGCCCTTTACTGAGTTTACTTATGAGTGAATTTGCTTACATAAGATACAGTACATGAGTGAATACCCTTACATGAATCAACAGACATCAATGAATCTGCAAACCAAAATACATGAGTGAATATTCAGATAAAAATCAATAAACATGTGTGGATGTGCTTAACATTAATCAGAAGACATGAGTGAATCTGATTATATGAATAAATGGGTAAACTCTTGAACTCTGTTATTATCAATGAAGAGACCCACTTGGAATCCCCCCCCCCCCCCCCCCCCCCCCCCCCCCCCCCCCCCCCCCCCCCCGCCCCCCCCCCCCCCCCCCCCCCGCCAAAAAAAAAAAGAGGCTAATGAGATAACATAAGGCAACTTTTATCTTTGCAATATGTAAACAAGAATAAAAATGACAATTTTCGTGACCTAAGAAAATTGACTTCAGAAAGCAGGTGCACCTGAAGTTTAAAATATGTCACAGTGGTCTCTAAGGTGAAGTGTTTAAGCATCTGCTTCAAGTAGGAGGTGACTCATTAGAGGTGTTTCCTTCAAATTTGGAGAGTATTTGTTTGAAGCAAGGAGCCAACAGTCTGCATTTAGATAAGCCAGATATGTAAAACAGATGTGCATGCAAAAACCAAGTTCTGGATCATGACCAAAGCCCAGGAGTGGATGAACAACCAGAACTTTCTGCTGGAGTTTACAGTTGGTGAACACAAAGAAGAAGATCTACAGAACACTGCAAGCCACCCCAACATTCATTAGCTGTTGTGGGGGTTTAACAGGAAATTTTATTTTCAATAGTTTGCCACTGCTTTCTGAATAGCACAATGGTTATACTGATGTCTAAATGAACACAAATTGGACTGCTACTAAACTGCCTGCAGTTTATTTTGAACTTTGGTATGCTGAGATTGTTAAAGTATGTTCACAATCTTTAAGCCAAAAAACACCGACTTAAACAGAAAAAAAAAGGTAGAAAACTTGACTAATAGTACAGAATCATCCATTTCAAGTAAAATTACTTAATAAAAGCAGCTTCTCAATACAGTTACCTGTGCTCTTTCAAAGTTTTCAATCTTTCTTGTAAATCTGACATTGCCTTTTGAACTTCATCTTCTTGTTTCCTAATGTTCTGTGATTGTGTCTGTTCTTGATGAAGACATTGTGTCACCTGTTGTTGCTTTTTCACTAAAGTCTTATACTCTGTTAATAAAATGCTATGTCTTATCTCCATGTTCTCTAGCTTCTTGTCATAAGATGTCTTGTCACTTTCAAACATACCTGAAACAAAATATTTTCAACACTGGTTAAACATGTAATCTTCACTAACTGCTACAAAAATGTAAAAAAAAATAAAAAAATAAAAAAGGAGGTGGAAGGATCCTTTAAGGCCTTTGGTGCATTTGGCATACAAAGCTGGACTCATTTTTTTAAAAGATAAATTGACACTCGTGGATGATGTGGTCAACATCACCCCGGCCATCTTTACTTCTTAGGACATTACCTGAAAGCCATTTTAGGTTAGGTTGACCTGGAGATCAAGGTCAATTATAACAAAGATTAGCCTTGATGCAGATTCAAACCAAAAAACGTGACGTGGTGATTTCTGTCACAGACGTGAGGTAAAGTCAAGTCCAACATTATGTGTATAAGGAGATACTCTGTACGTCACTCGGGCGCCAGTCCTTTAATGTTCTGGTTTTACTGAACCTCAAGCAAGGCTCCTGCAGCACATCCTCATCGTGCGGCGGATAATGTCACAAATGACCATTAAAAGAGCTCTCAGGGGATCTCAGAGTTTGCGGCCCCCAGAGGTGTAGTTTCCTTGTGGCTCTCATCAGACTGCCCCAAAAGCATGGGTGAAAAAGTTTATCAAAACTCATTAGGAACATGAGTAAAGTCTGCCTGCAGTACAACTAAAAAGACAACTTTCAGTTAAAAGTTTGTGGAGTGAAGAGAACAATGTGCAGCTGAGACTTAACCCTTGACCAAGAGATTTACCCGCAGCACAGACGAGTAACATCTCCTGCGGGTGGTGTCTCGCAGCAAGATTCTACCCATATACATCCTCTGTCAACCCTCAATGTCATCGTCACCGCGCTGAGGTACACCACAACAGTAACAGTCCATCGGCTGGCTAAGCCCAAATGTTTGACAAAAATAGATCCTACGGCACATGGGCTAGCTCAAAATCCGACCATCATAAATCGTATTGATTGGGAAAAAGTCCAAATGTCTGCATCCAGAGACCCCACTCGCCCAAGTGTTGGGGCCACACAGATAAAGCCATGCCTGACACAGGATTCTTCATTCTGTCGTTCTAACGGCATGTTAAAGATGTCAAACATGTGACGAAAAAGAATATACCTATTCGTGTGGACACTAAGTTCAGAACCCGCAGGCTGCTCCCTGCTGATCTCTAGAGGGTGCAGCCTGTGTCGAGTGGAAGGCCTAATACGGTTGTGAGGTAAGCAGTCATGTGCAGGAACTGACGATTCCTTGGGTGAGCCCAGAACCAGAGAGCCATGTGCTCTGCATTTATAGAAGCCTCTTTGATGGCGGGGAATGCCCATGATTTGCCCTGCCTTCCTTTGAGGGCTAACTGTTCCACATAGGGCTGCCCCAAAGGGGGTACTCCTGTAAAGAAAGAGACAAAGAGGACACCACACAAATCAGACAACATCTTGACCCACTGAAAACAATGGCCACAGTCATCCTAGAAATAGACCTGACGTCTTCCTTCGAAGTCAGAGTACATCTGCCTGTGAGGCAGGGAACGGCAAAAGCCAGTAAAGCGGTTGTACACGCAAAACTCAGGTCAAGGTAAAAGCCAAAAGTCCAAGCGGACGATTAACGCTGACCTTCCGCCGGAATTTACAGCTGGTGAACAAAGAAGAAGAAGAAGAAACCAAAGACCTTTGAGCAAGCAAACAAGAATCTAGGCATTATGGTACAATGGTTCCCTGTTAATTGTTATACTAATTGTATAACATGTTTAGTTACAAAACGGTATCCTTGATGATCATTTCTGTTCATAATTCTCCAAATGTAGCATTCTCTTGAAACAATAACTTGTTTTTGTTCAAGTTTACTGTACCATTTGCTAGCTATGAAGAGTTATAATCATGTATTTTTAATATGGCCTGTTTTACTGAGCCAACTGTGAAACAAAAATGTTAATCATGATTTCCTTATGCTTCCTGTTTTTTTGGTCTGGTTTCCTCAAGACTCAAAGACTTTTGCTCTAAAGTAAATATAACCTGAGTTAAAAAGGGCTAAAGTAACAACTGTCTTGTACTAAAAGTGTTTATAGAAGATACTGTGTGATGACTGAGATTCAAAAGAAGGAACAAATCACATATCGTGCTTTGGGGCTTGCACAGTAAACATGACATTTATCTGCAATGATTAATTCCTGCAATTAAAAATTATAAAGAAATGTTGAACTGAGTTAAGAACCAATATACCAGCATTCGAACCATTCCCTTAAACATTCTGTTTCCATTTTGAACAGCTAGCCCCGAGTTCCAATTCTAATGGTATGAACAGAAGTCTTTTTACATGTCCATCTTGCTTTTGCTTAGAGTGGAGTTCCAGTCAGATACCCTGGTAACTCTCCCCTGCATCATTCCCTCTAGACAATAATCACCTGCATGCACATTATTCACCTACCCCCAAAGGGCCTTGACCACATCTAGCTTGTCATGCATTAACAAAGAAGTTTCTCGGCCAACGTGTCATTTAAACCTCTAAACTTCCTTTTTAAGGATTACCCATCAAGAACTCATGTTAATCAATAGCCAATCTATCAATTATCATTTGACAACAGTTTTCCCTTCTGTATCATTTTCAGACATACTATAGGAGTAAAAACTTGTGTCACATGAAGAAGCAGAAGATAAAATAGTTTAGGTATCTTGTGAGAATGCAAAAACACCCACATACCAACAAATATGATATATCTAAGAAGAGTTGATATAAGACTAAGATGGTGCCCAATAAATACATGGACTGATGGCATTAAAGAATTTGTACACTCACATGGAATGACAATATCTAGTGCCACCCATCAAGCAACTGAACATCAACTAAGACACTTTATGGCAAAAGTGAAAAAGAATATTAGTCACTGAGTTCAAGAATCAGATATATAGTAACTTATTCTCTAAGTTATTTCCCATGTTTGTCTGAGAAATAAAAAATACAGTGTATTCTTTCATTGCATACAATTTTATACTAGACATATTAAACACAAAATATAGTGCACTAAAGTAACATGCTGTTGCTAGTATTATTGGACAGGAATTTATCGTACGATTTTATACCTGACAAATTAAAAAAAAAAAATATGGTGCATTGCAGTAATATACTGTTGCTATCGTTAATGGACAGGAATTGATCACACCGAACAATTATGTTCTGTAATGCTGTTCTGACTTGTCATACTCTGTCGTCTTTAATTTCTGTTACAGCTCTTCAACCTGGTGTTAAAACCATTTGTAGAAATAGGTTATTCACCGAGATTAATCTGGTATGTGTATTCAGGTTTTGACAAGAGATAACCTAATTTATTCATAAAGGCATGGAAAGGTGTTTTAGTGAGGGCAAGGATATGACTAAAGAAGCAGTTAAATTATTACAAGTAAACTAAAAACAAAGCTTATTGCAGATACAGCACTGGAGAAGTGAAATATTAGGTCTATATGTAATGAGATGAGGTGACTAACTCTGTTCTTTGTTTAATTCCCTTCACAGATAACTTTCAGAAAATTCTCAAAGTTACCTAAAACCCTCACTCTTGATCAGTCCCAGTTAGGTTACACTTTAGTTCATTCTTTACTGTGTATTAGTTACCCAAGTCCAGAGGAGTTAAAATTCGAAGAAATAAAAGGATTTGGGTTTACAACTGGGATAGGATGAGTTATAATAAAAAAGCATATGTTTGCGTAGCCAGTAAGCACATGATAAGTTGACCAGTACTGAATTTATTAAATTTACCACTGAAGTCAATCCTTATCTGCACAGGACAGCATAGAGTGGTCAATAAGAGTGCCCTAATTATAGGACACCTCTTATGATGTCCAGCAGAGTTATTTGGGATCTGCCTAGTTGGTCTGCCATACCGATTGAGATTTGAAAATCCCAGGATGGTATGGTAGGTTAACCTTTAAAGTGGTATGGGGGGGGGGTGGGGGTGGGGCATGAGCCTGAGGATGATAGGTCACATGGCTAGTGCAGTCATTACAAACTGCAGGTTAGGATTTTCAATTAGGCCCCCGACAGAAAAAAAAATGTCTACTCCTTACCAAGGACTGAACATGGGTCTCCCACAACAGCCCAGTACCCTTACCACTCAGCCTGCCACTTCTCTGGTGCCACTCTCAAGCTGGGAGACAGGAGGATCACAGAAGTGTGAGATAAGTTGCCTGAGAAGAGCTATCAATGTAATCAGAAGGAACAGACCAAGAAATAATATTAATAGAGCAATGGTAGGAGCAGTACCATTCATTGATAATACAGCAAGTCAGAGATTAAGATTGTTTGGTTATCTAATAACAATTAGACTTGCATAATCATCCCTATTTAAAACTGTAGAAGCATTATGTTACAAAGCATTAAAAAAACCCAGAAGCAAATGACTGACAAGCAGTGTTGCAATTTCATCATGGGGAAAAGTTAAGACCACGGTTGAAATGATCAATTTCAAATTCTAGATCAATCACTTATAATTGATACTGCAGTCAACTGTTATGGAAAATGTTCAAAACATTAATTGTGAGACATCATCGTTCACTTAATAATATCTTGCACAGAATAATGTTCTTCAATCCTCATAACATAAGAATGACTTAACAAGAAATAAAAAAAGCAAAGAAAATGCAGTCCCACCAAATGCTACTCGGAACATTTCAGAAACAAAAATGAGTAACCACAAACACCAGACATCTGAGAAAAGCTGCGGGGTGACCGCAAAAGATAAAAGCAGGAACTACTCATGAACAGCACAATACAGCGTAGAACCAATACTGAATTATATGCAGCGAAAAAAAAAAACATTATTTGCTGCCAAGAATTCTTTGTGAGGCATATGCCAACAGAGTAGTTAGATGTTGAGGTGATAAAGAACAAGATGGGCAGATAACCTCAGATACATTTTGCGAAAGTGTCAAGTCTCTGTGGTCTCCCTTTTTATGGCTTTTATTCCAGACAATTAACAAAAAAATTATGTATCCACTATGAGGGTTGGCTTCAATAGACACACTATATATCTTGACTTGATTGTACACTCTTTCAGACTGCTGTTCATCCATCTCTTGATGCTGTCCTCCCACTTGTAACATTGTCTACCTCTATGTCTGTTACCCTCGACCTTTCCATGCAGTATGGTTTTTAAGAGCTTATTATGTCTTTTTTATATGACCAAAATATTTCAGCACTCTGTATTTTATTTATTTTAATAATTTGCTTTTATTCACAGTAAATATTCTGTTGCCTGTTCATTGTCTAAGTTTTTGCACCAAACAACATAACATAACAATTGACGATTCTAATTTTTTATGTATTTTTTATCTTCCTTGCTTTTAATAATTTTCCCATGTTGTTGAAGATAGTTTTAGCCTTTCTTATTCTCTTTTTGATTTCTGTTTCACTTCTGCCATTATCTGTTATTACGTGTCGGACATAGGAAAATTTTTTTTCTAGTTCTATTATCTGTACTGTGATATTCATTGCTGGTGGCTCTTTTTCATTGTTAATTACCACAGTTTTGTCTTCCAAATGTTAATGTCTAAACTATATTTTGCACTCAGCTTATTGATACTAGTATCTTGTCATCCCCTTGTGGGATGCGATTTTTAGCTTTCTTGAGGCCCCACCCTGACTTTTGCTAGGAGCCCTAAATATAGCTGGCCCTAAAATGCAGCCTAGCAGCTGAACAGGGTTTCCGGGACCTCTCCATTGGTAAACCTCATCAGTATGGTTGCACTTTGTGTCACTGGGTGTTTATCGCTTGTGATGTCCTGGTAAGGTACAAAAAAAAAAAAAACATACACACGCACGCACGCACACACACACACCCCCCTCCCCATGTTGACTTGCTCTGCTAGGTTTTGTAACTCCTGCTCCTACTCTGCAAATTAGCTGGTGTCTGTTATTTTAGGCTGGATCAACCATGGCACTGGGGTTTGAATAAAATCTGGTCACTTTTGGGGACTGAACCCAAATCACTGTTTCCACAGGCAGGCCTATTAACTACAATGCAACCATGGGGTAATGATAGACCATCATAATTCTTGCAGTTGGGATTATCTCCTTTATTTGATACACAATTATAGTTCTTGTAATTGGGATTATCTACTTTATTTGATACACTATTATAATTCTTGTAGCTGGAATTATCTCCATTACATTTAATTTTAGCTAACACTACTTACCATATAAGCTTCAAAACATAAGATATTTTGTTATACAAAAGCTCTGCACATAGAATATCATTTACCAAAGAATTTAGAAGAAAAAGGAGGAAACAAGTTAGCAATCAGAAATGCTAATTCATTAAAATTAATGTTTGTAACAGAGATTTATAAAATCAGAAGCAACAAATAAAACTATAAATGGCAATAAACAAATGATAAATAATAGTCAAAACTATACAAAAAGTGAATCAGGAAAAATTACATTTCAAGTCACATAACTAAAGATACAGAACATGATCAAGATTATTACCATCCATATATGGAGACTGGGAGTGTTTGACAGCATAGCATGATCCAGCACTTCCCAATGACTCTGTATTTTGACGAGATAGACCATGGCTAGCATGATATTCCTGAATCACTTGCTGTAGCATTATATTCACTGTCAGAGACAGCACAGGACAGTCACAGGATGGACACGACTGTTTATCTTCTAGACAGGACTTACAGAATGTATGGCCACATGGAATCACCATTGTTGGCAAGTTTTTTGATGACAGCTGCCAGATAAAAACATCATTCATCAAACTGTTAACAACTTTTAAATCCTCTGTATTTTAAGAAATATTAAATGTGCATACAGTTGTGATTTAAACTGCAAGCAAATGTAATTAAATTTGTGCAAAACCTGGTAAAGCTAGTTAGCAAGTTTTAAAATGGAACTGTTCCCTTAACTGCTATTCATGCATATACATATACTTTTTCCTCCCCACACACACACAGCCACCCACACACACAGTAGCACACACACACACGCATGTGCACGCACACACACACACACACACAAATTTGCTTTCATGTCCCACTTTATACAATATGATCAAGATGGTTTCCAAACCCCTTAGTTGCTTCTGTTTTTACACATATCTTATGCAATCATCATATCCTTCTTCTTCATCATCTTTTGTCTTTCATCTCTAATAAAAGCAAAGATTATCAACCAGCTCCCACCAAGCCCTTTGAAGATTCAATTAGTTTCAGGTGGATTTTGTGGTTACATGTTTTATGAAATGAGGAAGTTTGTCTCTTGCCAACCTTTCTTAATCGCCTTTCTCTTTTACAGCCCTGGTAAACACGTAAGCACCTCAGCAGCTGACCTAACATGTATCACACCCTAATGAAAACCATAACTATACTTCTATCAAATCTCCGTAGTGATCAGATCTGTACACTGATAACATCTGTTAAAGTTAGTTGCGTATCCTTTACAGGACGTTGCAGAACCAACCCCATAATTTTTTGGCTGTGTTGGTTTTTCTAGGCAAGTTTACGTCCAGTAGTTAGCCATTGCTTTCTGGATGGTCGGCTTCTCGATACCACTGTAGAAACTAATGCAAGGTGCAAGGCCTGCAGCTGGGATTGAACCCGGCACCCCAGGATTATGAAGAGTTTGCAACGCTTAAGCCACAGATGCCAACATCTGCAACAGTTATCATATTTAAATACTGATCTCATTTATAAACTGATTCCCATCCATAAAGATATCCCATCTATCAATGATAAGGAGACAAACAAAGTTCTTTGGTCAAGTGATGAGAAAAAGGAGCACTGCAAAAAAATCATGACAACTGGAAAGATCACTGCTAGAAGAGGCAGAGGCAGACCAAGAGAATTGATAGTGGTTGGCTTAAGACATTGGCACTGAGGAATATCATTAATGGAATTGATCCAGAACACCAAAGACAGAGATCTGTGGAAATGCATGAATGCCAGCTGGCAAGGCACTTGATGATGATGATCTATAAAGTGATAATATTTAGACAATGACCCCATTTATGCACTGATCAAATCTATAATATGATCTTACATGTACATTGATCACATCTGTAACTGATATCATTTATGCACTGATCAAATCTTTAATATGATCTTGCATGTACATTGATCACATCTGTAACTGATATCATTTATGCACTGATCAAATCTATAATATGATCTTACATGTACATTGATCACATCTGTAACTGATATCATTTATGCACTGATCAAATCTTTAATATGATCTTGCATGTACATTGATCACATCTGTAACTGATATCATTTATGCACTGATCAAATCTTTAATATGATCTTGCATGTACATTGATCACATCTGTAACTGATATCATTTATGCACTGATCATATCTTTAATATGATCTTGCATGTACATTGATCACATCTGTAACTGATATCATTTATACACTGATCATACTTTAATTATTTTAATACTGATCACACTCAAGCAATGATCATATCTTTATACAACTGTTTTTATCTTCAGCTTATTATAGTTGATGCTGTGTGGCATTGGTAGTCATGACAGTCCATATTCATGTTTTGTGCACCAAAAGCCAGTTAGTTAGTCAATAGATTATCCTCACTGTACATCAAACCATTTAGTTGCTATTTATGCTACTTAGTTACGTCCTTTATAGGACGTAATTTTTTGTTATTTGAAGCCCCACTCTGGCTTTTGCCAGGGGCCGCAATATAGGCAGGCCATAAAAATGGCCAAATGTCTGAACGCGGTTTCTGGGACCTCTCCACGGCGATCCTCATCCACATGGTGGCACGTTGTGTCATCGGGTGTTTATCACTTGTGTGATGTCCTAGTGGGGTAGAAAGTCACTCACTCACTCACCATTTAGTCCATAAGTGCGCAGATCCCCTCCTCAGGAAATTCTGCATTGTGTAGTGAGTGGGGTATTTTATTCAGTCTGAATGCAGGTGCTTGAGAAGTGAGAAACCAACAGGCTGCATAAAAATAAGCTTGATCTGTAAAACAGATGTGCACACAAACTCAGCTTCTGAAACAAGGCTGTCAGGGTTTACAGCCGGTGAAGGCAAAGAAAGAGAACACATTGATCAGAACTACACTCTGAACATTATAACATAATAGGTCAAAGAATAATACTACAGCAACATGGCATACCATCAGTGTCCTGCAGATACTACAGTTATGACTTGAAAGAGCTGGTGTTTTTGTATGATTTAATGCCCTCTCTTCCTTTACAAAAGTCCTATGTCGGCTTGTATTCCAGACAGTATCACCATAATTTTTTGTACTGACTGATACAGGTGGCTTGCCTGAAAGCACGCCATATGAGTGAGGAATGCCCAAATCCTTTTTAACCTTGCTGGCAATTTTTTCAGCCAGGTAAGGAAATTCTTCCTCAGACACTGGATATGGTTGAGGTGATTGATCAGGTGAAACCAGTCTCTCCAGCTCAGATTCTGTTCCACTCCTGATACTGCTCATATCATTGAAGTCAGGGGTGTTCTCATTGTGTGTAGATGTTTGATTTTCTGCCTCATTCCACCCTCTGTACTTGTCTAATTTCTGTGGTATGATTATAAACATATTGTCAGCATTTTGCAAAGAAAGTTCAAATATGTATAAGTGGAAGCGAATGGGACTGAAAGAAATGAAGAGGGAGAACAATAAAGAAGACTGCAGACAATTTGGTAACATGTCATAAACAAACAACTGTTTTAGAAAAAAAAACACTTCTAATACACAAGACAGAAAGATGTCATATGGAATAAACTGTAAAAATTATAGTGAAAAAAAAAAAAAACGATTGGGAAATACCTACAGTTAAGTGACAACTGAAGAATAAAATGTCATTATTCTTACACTTGTCAAGAAAAACTCGAAACATTGGTACTTCACTACTATAATTGAGGATTAAGGTAGTATTTGCTGCAGCTGTTTAATAATTGTGCAGTTTTCACTATGGTAGTTTAATAATGTGTAAGTATTCACAATGGTGGCTGGTTATAGCGGATATGTCAGTCTGTTGCTATCTATGGGGACACCATGCTGTGAGGCCCCAACCTCTAGATATCAAGGCCCTCTAGTAGCAAGTGAACAATGCAGAAGCACAACAGATAATTATGGTCCGAAAAGAATGGTTCAACAAGAAGTGACAAAGGCATCTGGTGATATTTTATATTCAGAGGATAGGCATGAAGAGTTTGGATGTCAAATCTTTAGGCTGCCAGCCAGAAAATAAAATAAAAGGGGTGGTGGGATCAATCATTTAACAGTAACTCAACACCTGTAATAGATATTTCAGATATACATCTCTCCTTGCTAGAACCATACTTAAATTAAACCTCAAGCATAGTTATAAATGAGGTTCATACCAGTATCACACCACCATCATTACTGATGTTACCAGTATTGTCATCTTTCCTTTCCCCATGTTATCATTGATGTAGATTATAAGTGAAAGTAAAATAACCTTTTCCTTGTCTTGAAATATATTGAATACTGCACTCATACCTATATAGACCACTGTACATTCAATGGGTGAGGTGGTTAATATCACATCAGCCACCTTCATTTCCCAGAACACTTCCTGTGCTCATTTTAGTCTGAGTAGATTTGGGAACCCATGTTCATTTATTTGAAAAAAAAAAACAAATAACTGCGGCTCAGACAGAGAATCAAACATATGACCATTGTTGACAAGCAAGCATGCTTCTCATTGTTGACAAGCAAGCATGCTTCTCATTGTTGACAAGCAAGCATGCTTCTCATTGTTGACAAGCAAGCATGCTTCTCATTGTTGACAAGCAAGCATGCTTCTCATTGTTGACAAGCAAGCATGCTTCTCATTGTTGACAAGCAAGCATGCTTCTCATTGTTGACAAGCAAGCATGCTTCTCATTGTTGACAAGCAAGCATGCTTCTCATTGTTGACAAGCAAGCATGCTTCTCATTGTGCCACAATGGCTCCTGATAATCCATATTTAAACAGAAAGTAAAGGACCTTTTTCAGGTCAGTGGCAAATCAGGTATATGATGCTAGGCCCATATTAGTATAGAGTAATCAGCAATCAAAAACAGAAATATTCTTAGAATAACATAGACCAAGAAGAAAAGAAATACTGACATCCTAAAAGATGTGAATATCAATGGAGATTGGCTAAGAAACAGCATCTTGTCTCAGAAACTAAAATTTTTTAGTCACACCAAGTGCCACGATGCAATGAAAAAAAAAATAACAGCAGAAGGTATGGTACCCGAAAAGAGGGGCAGGGCAGATTAGCACAAAGATGGGTACAGGATAAGCCATCTTGGGTCGAAAAGTGCATGAGGTTAGAGAGCTGGTGACAGACCGAGTTTCTTTAAGGCAGATTCTGATGACAGTGACATTCTGTGAAGGACTTGCTACATGATGATGTTGAATCGGCAGTTGGTGAGTAGTAAGTGGTCCCTATCATGCCATATATTCAAAATGACTAATGGTAAATAAAGCAACATTTCTTTGACATACTTCACTTTTGTCAAAACTATCCATTACCTGTCTAATCCTACCAGTCTTAGAATGTAGCACATCATTTTGTGTGAACGATGTTTTGTCATGAACAGGTTTGCTTTGGATCACTTCATTTCCTTTAGACTCTAATACAAAATTAAAACATTCAACCATCATTCTAAGTCTTGAATACTTTGAGTACTACTGCATATATAATAGAGACCAAAGAAATATACAGCTTGCAAATATGCAGTAGGATATTTTGTTAGCACCTTTCTGTCTTTCCGGATGCAAGAACATTTGTGTGAGAAATGTTTGAAAGTAAACAAGACAGAACACTGTGGATAGACATGACTATTTATTTTTCTTTTGATTTGATTTGATTTGATTCAAGAACCGACATCACAGCACTCGGGGCTTAATCATGATAATTATGGTCCAACAGCCTTTCTTTTGATCACATCTCTGATTTACACAGAGAGATGAGTTTTTATGATAAAATTGACAGATTTTTTGGAACACCTCTTTTGATCCATACAACTTTGATTATGGTGTTGACTCATTGGGTCAGTATTCCAACTTTAATGAATTGTACAAGCGAAAGTCTTCTACAACATGTTTAGCCGCTTGTATACACAGCCTACATGGACATAGTGGTGAATTACTCAGACGAACCCTATGCATATGCTTGTTGAATGTGTTATGTCATGTTCTGAGGCAAAGAATGATGACCTGTCCACATTGACTATGAGAACATTTGAATGAGAGCCTATGCAGAAGAATGGGGACTGTTAAAATTCAAGTTAAAGCTGAAAGAACTGACTTTCTTGCACCGGGTTTTACTCCAGATGGTTCAGTTTCTCTCTACAGAAGGGCTAGCCACCCACTGGTAGCATCACACAAAGCACAAACTCTGTAGTTTCAGTGACCATCCTGTGTTAGTGCAGTGGCTGGTTAACATTTTTAAAAAATAGTTTGCCTGCCTGCCATCCATATGGTCATCAGCTTGAATTTACATTGAGGTGGATTTGAAACATTTACCTGGGCTTGATGAAGACTGACCTAGACTAAAATGGGTACTAGAAAATGTCCTGTGAAGTAAAGATGGTCAATACGATGTTCACATCACCACTAAGTGCCATCCAGTCTATAAAAATAGCATCATTTGCAAAATAACAATATTTTAAAGTGCATATAATTACAGTTTCAAATCTCTACTCATTTAAATGAGGAGCATTGATAGCGTACTGATTAGAGCTTGCATGCCAACCTGAAATCTAGGGTTCAAATACACACTGAAGCAGATTTCTTTTAAAAATTGACTCTGGCTTCCTGTTATGCCACCGCCATAAGAATTGTTCTTTATACACATATAGATATTTCCTGTTAGTCATTGCTGGAGATAGATATTATGCTATGACAGAGCTTCAAATGAAAATCTTGTGATATAAATTACAGCAACCATGCCATTATTTTGTAACCTGTCAATGCTGTTGTTAAGGATGTCAGATGTGTTTAGCACATGACATCATGGTGCAAACATTGTAATGTCATAATGAGTTTTAAAATGGCCGCACCACTTTTGACATGCACCAGAAAGAAAGAGCATTCTGTTATCAGCTTTTTAAAAAAAAATCAGTAAAGAGGTGAAATGAAGGTCTAGTACAGTAATGCATGCCTGTCAGTCTAGCAAGTGTATAAGTGGAGAAGGAAGTTTCAAAATGGCTTTGGGGTCACTACTTGGTGTACCTGGCTAGGTTTTGACCAGTAGTCACAAAAATCATGCTTTGATGTAAGTAAATGGCCCTTTTCCTAATGATGGCTCACTGGGCATATGATGCCAGACTCATATTTATATACCCCAGTCTGCCCTCGGTGAGTATAAAAAGTTGTTCCCATGTGAGATGCAATTTTTTTGTTATTTGAAGCCCAACCCTGGCTTCTGCCGGGGGGGGGGGGGGGGGGCAGAAGTATAGGATTATTTTTCACACTTCAGAAGGTATGTTGGTTTGCAGTGCTAAAATCATTTTTTTTAGACCACTTGACACTTGATGGGTAAATATCATTCCAGATCCCTTTACTTCAAAAACAACAAAAACAACAGGGTTGGGTTCACTGGGTTAGCAGGTAATTGTATTAGCCTGCACACTATTGCAGATCCCATGTAAACAGTAGTAAATGTGAATGCTTACGCTCATCTATATTAGGCTGTAGCTTGGTCTTTTCTCTCTGCCTGAACCAATTTTGTTGCCTCTGCTTAATTTCTTGAATCTTGTTTGCAAAATGTATAACAACAATGTTAGTACTGTGGGAGGCAATATTTCAGAAAATCAAATCAAAGTTTCCCCATTGTGAATTTGAACTGAGAAGACACAAACAATGGACTGTAACATTTACTGCCTTGCAATCTTTCACTATATCTCTTCATGTGTATACTAAAGTAACAAATGAATAGAATGAAGATAATAGAAAAAAATAATTTTTCTAACTGAAATAAAAAGAAACTGTGCAGCATGTTTATGTCTTCTTTGTTCAAATGTTAATACTGATACTTAACACACATATATGTCTGCATACATGTATGTAGGATTTCTCACATATGTCAGCTGCAGCACTGTCTTCAGGAGACACAAGAAAAATAATAAATGCAGAAATAAAATGTTTATGTACCATGCTAAGTCAAACAAGGAAACATAGACTTAGGAACAATTATGTCAGGAGGGTAGGCACAGAAACAATATTGAACTTTATTGGTAGACAACATATCAAATGGTTTGGCCATGTAACAAGGTTGGGGCATGATACCAAGTATGTTATACAGATACAGCTGTAACAAGAACCGAGGTCGACCATGCAGAATATGGACCATGGAAATATCAGAGACACTGAGAAGTAATTTATACAAACTGAACAGAGGGCTCGTTCCAGAGATCTTTTCCTGCCCTAACACTGCGAGGCATTCCAGGAGAAGAGAAAAGAAGAAAGAAGAAGAAAGCTGTTGCAATATAATTTGCAAGTAATAACATAGTTGTGTAAATCCACTCATTATTATTTGTTTACTCTATGTGATTTGCCCTTGGATTAATGGGTTTCCTAAGGAAAGCAAATAATAGTAACCCTGTAATGTCATAATTTGCAATAAAAGCGCTGAGAGATTGTCTGGTTCTGCCTCAGCTGTAGATGGCCAGCATATGGATCACAAAATCATTGCTAATGACCTCAGAGACAGAGAGGATAATCAGATGATTTTGGAAGTAGTGTCTACACACTGCTAAGAATACGAGAAATGGGGATAAAGATTGGCATAGCAAGGCACACCTGATGAACAAGAAGTCTTGTCAACTAACAAAGGACTAGCACTTTTAATCGTGGGATGCTGATATTATGTTCAAGGGGGAATCTGAGCACCTGTGGACATGTCTGGAGTGCTGTGAAGATAATCCATCTCATACATGTCATAAAAAGCAACTAAGGAAGGTGGGAATGGCTAACTCACCTTGTAGACCAATTTAGCTGGAGAAAAAAAAAAGTCTACAAAGGATTGGTACGATTTGGTTTCAGGCCTATGACCCATTCGGTAATTAAAACAGACTATTAGTACCATTTCTGCTGACATGACTGTGTGACCTGGCAGTAAAGCAGGGTGAACAGCCTCTATGTCGCCTTCTAGGCAGAGATAGGGGACATTATAACCAGCCCCTCATAGGAACAATCAGCAGAGGTACCCTGCAGCGGCTGCACTGGAGGACTGAGCACACATGGGAAGGCTCAATATGCAGTGATGTCGATTGTGATAACATAATATAATTTAACATAACTTTTGCTACTGCTGCTGCATATTTCTTCTCTACACTACCAATACTGCTGCTACTGTTATTGCTACTTTGCTTGTTACTTAAAGTTATTTACATTGTGGAACTCGGCGCTAGCGTTGAAGATGGGGACAGAGTGCTTATGGGAATGCCACGAGTGCTGTGATGTTGGGTCTTCAATCAACTCAACTCATTTACATTGTGTAGTAATTAGTATTACTGTATTAATACCTAAGGAAATTGGTGAATGTTAAAAAGCAGGAATTCAAGAAAGGTAAAGAAATATGAGAAATGTCAGGACAACCACTAGTATCAACAGTTGTAAGACTAACAAGATGGCTGTATATTTGACACACCATGAGAAAAAGCAAACAGTGAATCACTAAACAACTATTGACATAGGAAATAAATGAATTTAGAAAGCAAGGAGTTCCACAAGAAAATCATCAAACAAACACTGAAAGGGGAAACAAATGAGATGAGGAAAAAAAAAACAGTTTCCAGAAGAAACTTTAGAGGAACTTTAATGAGAGAGGTCAAAGGTGCTGAATCAGATTCCATTCAAAAACTGTAAAAACTACAGAGGATAGAATGGAATGGAGGAATAAACTGTGAGCTGTATAATGGTACCTCTCGATGAGCATGAGTAAGTAGTAGCAAATACTCATTTGTTAGCCAAGTGATCAACTCTCCACTACACCTTGGACACTTTTCTATACTTTTTTTTTTAATTAGAAGAAATAATGGCTATCTTCTAATAATGGCACCAAATTATTTAGGCTGAAAATATACCCTAACAGGACCGCAGTTACATGTAACTCCGCCACCGCTTAGAGTATCTCCCTCGACGCTACGCGTGGGGTGGAGTGGGGTGGGGCTCACGAGCAAATAAAATGAAGGAAGCTGCAGGAGATGCGGTAACTGCTGCTCACGAGTCCCAGCCATTTAGTTTAGCCCTAATCCATGCCCTGCATAGCGGTGCGAAAGATACTCTTGGCAGTGGCAGCAGTAGCCGGAAGTGCGCAATTTAAGTCTCTGGAAGTCCGCAATTTACATGTGACTGAGGCCCTATTAGGGTATATTTTCGGCCTCGATAATTTGGGACCGCTATTCGGAAGAAAGCCGAAAATATGTTTCAGTAATGAGTAGGACTGTACCGAATATTCCCTTCGTATTTGCTTCGGGGCTGAATAGTTGACCTATTGACTATTCGGTATTTGGCCGGATAGTTGCGGTCAGGCCAAATACGAATAGTAGGTACCTCACACCTGCTTCTGCATACACGGCCTTAATACTGACAACATGGAACGATTGGTTTTGTTGAAAGTTAATGCAGCTTTCATGCATTAACTAAGCTGTCAGTGACAATTTACAAGTTTAGTTACTGGTTATAATACTTAAGATTCTTTGATTCCTAGTCATTAGTTACCACAGACTGACTAAAGGATGCAAAACATAAAACATGTTTTTAAATGTTTACTATTCTGTGCGAATACTAACTAGACATGGAAAGAATATAAACTCCGGCCACATCCAAGTCGATAATAGGAAAATCAAACGAGCGGAAACATACAAGTACTCGGGTGCAAACTTCAACTGCTCCAATATGCTGAGAGAAGAAATACAATCTAGAAATAAAGTATACTATGCCCTTCAACATCTGCTAAAGTCAAAGTTTCTGTCTCGCAATACCAAGAACAAAATATATAAAACGTTAATTAGACCAATCGTTTTAAATGGCTCTGAAACTTGAAGCAGAAATAGAAGAGATGAGGCCTTATTACAGGTTTTCGAAAACAGTCTTACAACAAATCTTTGGACCCATCAAAGATGCTAACAGCGGGGAATGGAGAGTGAGAAGCAACAATGTAACACATACACTGTTTAAATCACCATTGATCACTGGCATCATGAGAGCTAACAGACTAAAATGGTTGGTGCATATTGAAAGAATGTCAGATGACAGAGAAGTAAAAACTGTATACACCTGAGAGAGGAATAGTCGTAGACCACGAGGCAGACAAAAAAAAAAGTTCTAGTGATAATGTCCAGCCAGACCTGCAAACAACTTGTGTCACAAATTGTGAAGAGAAGGCCAGCCAGAGAGATGAATGGAGATGAGTGATATCTGCAGCAGTAAACCTCAAGGGCTCAAAATTCTAAAGAAGAAGATGACTGTTCTGTGCTACTTTACTTTTTTTTAAAGATATATTTTAAACACTGTACACTATTCGTATTCGGCCTATTAGTTGGTCCCATTATTCGTATTCGGCCGAATAGTGAAAATCACTATTAATGAGTAATCCTCTTAATAATTATTATTTCAGAAGTAACTTAACACAATACAAAGTATGACTATTGTAAACAGAACCAAATTTAAGGCCGAATTTCATAAATGAATAATGTTGTATTATTCGTAGATGAAGACTTCAGTCAAAAGGTTTAATTGTTTTTTCTTCAATACTCGACACTTTTCTCAGTCATTTTTATTTTAGAAGTAATCAATTAGCAAAGAATGATTTTAATATAATATAATATAATAATTCAGAAACATGCAGTAGAATATGAATTCTCAAATGTTAACAGAATAATAGAACGTATAAACTAGCCTTTATCAACGATTATTATTTTAAAATTCCTAAATCTTTGATAAAGACTTTGATGGAAAGGTTCTGTTGTATTATGCGTGTTTTTCCCCTTCCTCCCAACCCCCTTTTCATTTCGACACTTTCATGGACATAGTTTGTCATTGCATGTTTACATGTTTCATGTTGAATGATGTTGCTTGAACTTCAGGTTTTGAATAGTCCCAGTTAGTAAAGTTCACTTGATGGTAGTGTTGATTGTAAATAAAACTTTTAAAACAGAGTAATTATTACTTTCTGAGATACATCCTCCTTCTTTTTAGATTTTAGTGATGCATGCGAAATTCCTGCCGGCATTTTAAGTAGGCAGATTGAAAACAACCAGGAAATAAACCTTTCAAGTTTGTGCAGTATCTATGGGTTTCAGGGGGAATTAACTCTGGAAATTAAAAGAGAGTTATTAATCTTAGCGTAAACTTTCATTAAGTCAGTAAGGTGTCGCCTTTACATTATAGGTTTGCTGAAATGGATCTCCAACCTGCTCTGTTCTTCACCCCAATGTACACACTCTCACACTACCAGGACCGCACAACCAACGTTGAACATCGGTGACACAAAATCTATCTATCTATCTATCTATCTATCTATCTATCTATCTATCTATCTATCTATCTATCTATCTATCTATCTATCTATCTATCTATCTATCTATCTATCTATCTATCTATCTATCTATCTATCTATCTATCTATCTATCTATCTATCTATCTGTCTGTCTGTCTGTCTGTCTGTCTGTCTGTCTGTCTGTCTGTCTGTCTGTCTGTCTGTCTGTCTGTCTGTCTGTCTGTCTGTCTGTCTGTCTGTCTGTCTGTCTGTCTGTCTGTCTGTCTGTCTGTCTGTCTGTCTGTCTGTCTGTCTGTCTGTCTGTTGTCTGTCTGTCTGTCTGTCTGCCTCTGTCTGTCTGTCTGTCTGTCTGTCTGTCTGTCTGTCTGTCTGTCTGTCTGTCTGTCTGTCTGTCTGTCTGTCTGTCTGTCTGTCTGTCTGTCCGCCCGCCCATCTGCCGGTCTGTCTGTCTGTCTGTCTGTCTGTCTGTCTGTCTGTCTGTCTGTCTGTAAAGAAGTCAGAAGATCAACTAGATTATTATGGACTGAAGAGAATGATGCACCTGGGTGTGAACAGGGATTTCGGCCGGCACACTGCGCTCAGAGGAATGGCAAAATGGACATTATCCAGACTACGGCCGGCACCATTAGTATTGGAACTCTGCGCTGGTTTCTGAGGGTGGGGACGAAGCACATATGGGAATGCTCCGAGTGCTGTGACGTCAACGGAGGAGAATTGTACTTCGAGGAGTAAGCAGGGGATCTTGTCGACGATCAGCACCCAAGGGAAAGACAAGACGGATATACAGACTGCCACTGGTACCAATGGAATTGGAACTCTGCACTAGCTGCTGAAGATGGGGATGGAGCGCTTATTGAAATGTTTCGAGTGTTGTCGATTCCTAATAAAACCTTTACAGTACAATAGTTCTTGATCCAATATTTTCTTTTTTTGAACCAGTTATTTATCTTTTTTGTTCCCTTTTTATTAAAAGTCTTTGATTCCGTCTTAATTTCTCAACAGTTATTGATTCTGATTCTCGAGCATGTATTTGGATCAACAGACTCCGGTCTTTAAAAGTTCATTAAACTGAATTGCCCAATATTTCAAGAATCGAGGTAATAACCTTGACTGTTCCTTGTACGCAGTGAAAGCAATACCACAGGACAGAGCAATCGAATGCGTGATCCATGAGCTCCCTGCCATGTACAGGTGTGACAACTTTGGGTGTCCGGTGTTCTGTTTCAGAATTAACCTCAGTATTGTTTACACAACGTCTGCAACAGGACGTACTTTGACGTGCGATTTATTTCTAGTTAAAGAAACTTCTTTGAGTTGCAGCGTTCAAGGCTGCTAAATCCTATTATGTGCTTGCTGGATTTGGAGGATCTATTACATGCCTGTTTTAATATACTTACCTATATATTAAATGAAAGTGTGGCGTGGGTTTTCTGTGTTGGCTTGCCATTCATTAATATGCAGACAATATTGTTCAGTTCGAAGCAGCACTTTACCACAAATCAATGTCAAAGTAAACAAATAAATAATGTAACTGAGCCTTTTCGTGCACTGAGAAAGCATAGATTTACGGGGATAGCTACATATTTAGTATCTTTCAAAATTTATTTTATGACATAAAAGGCACTCAGTTGGTGACATGACGCTAGTGGCCGTTTCTTATCCTGGCATTTCCTGGTTCCAGTTTTAGTTTGTTTGATAAGATAGTTCAGATGAATTTACAGTTTTGCATCTTACTGCAACTAATAGCGGAGTGGAGAGAGAGAGAGAGAGAGAGAGAGAGAGAGAGAGAGAGAGAGAGAGAGAGAGAGAGAGAGAGAGAGAGAGAGAGAGAGAGAGAGAGAGAGCGAGAGAGAGAGCGAGAGAGAGAGAGAGAGAGAGAGAGAGGAGAGCCACATATTTTCCTCTTTTTTTTTTTTTTGGTCAAGAACACAGAAGGTCATATCTGAGAGGTGTCCCCTATATACGTGCTCTGTAAGTTAGTGAAGTAAGTCACCAGTACACGAGACTGCGCATTTTTAGTTTGCACAAACTGAAGGTGACATTGCCACCAAGGTGTTGCAACTGACGCGCTCGGTCTTTGGATCACGTATGATACGTAAATTATCAAGTCTTTGATATCACACTTCACCCTGGCCAAGGTGTTAGCCTGGCATTAAATCTACGGGTCTGGCATCTGAGGCACAGAGCCATACAGGAGACAGTTCGTAGCAAATGGGACTCAACATGTTCCCCCCTATATTGGTTTCCAATGCATAATTTATTCACTTCTTACAGTCCGCTTAATATTTCAACATGTAGATTACCGTTACTTGTAACACTTCGTGTTGTCTTATTCTATCTTTAAGCCCCCCACTGGAGCATGAGCTCTCAGCTATATCATTCCAACCCCTGAAAAGGGGACTTCGTGATCTCGAGGCATGGTGTCCGCCTCGAGTGCTAGAGATGCCTGATTCAATCGCCGGTAAGGGCTGGGATTTTTTTTTTCACGTGGACTTATACTTCAAGTAATTCCCCCTAGCCTTTGAATAGTGATATCGGACTCCCGTGTGCATTGTTGCGAACGTAAAAAAATCTTTTTGCAGTTGAAAATCGAAAAGAGTAGCCTAACGGCGCTGCCCGGGCAAAATTAGGAGTTAAAAATCTACCTTAAGTATTTCAGGATCCTAACCAGCGCTACAGAGTCTGAGCACTGTGCTGAGCTTCTTCGGACTCAGACTTAAGTTAGAAGAAAAACGAAGCACTTATGGGTTACTACTAGGGCTGTACCGAATATTCGCTTCGTATTCGCTTCGGGGCCGAATAGTGGACCTAATAGCTATTCGGTATTCGGCCGAATAGTGGCGGTCGGGCCGAATACGAATAGAGATTTCTGAATACACTGCGATGGACTGAAATAACTCTCTCATTAATAATGTCACAATTTATAGCCGACTTTTCTTGATTTTCGCCGCGGCACCCCTGGCATACGCACCCAGTTTTAGAACCTCCGCTGTAATGCCTCGGAGGAGTCAGCAGGCGCTGTTACCACGCAACCGGGTCGCAGTTTTCCCCGCTACGACAGATTTAGGCAACGCTACTGTTGTGTTAAGGAAGGCATGAAGAAACTTGAAAGTGTATCTGTGTGTGAGAGAGAGAGAGAGAGAGAGAGAGAGAGAGAGAGAGAGAGAGAGAGAGAGAGAGAGAGAGAGAGAGAGAGAGTGTCGGGGTGTCTTTTCCCAAATCAAATTGAAGATATTGCGAACGAGAATATGAAGGTGCATTTAAATTACATCGATCGAACGCCTAAACGAACGATGATTTAAATGCGAATTTATCACATGGATCAAATCAGATGAAAAATGCATTACTAAAAAAAAAAAAAAACCCAGGCCAAACCATTGTTTGAGGCCTCAGAGATGTGGTTTTACAGAACAATGCTTAAAATACCTTGGACAGCCTAAAAAAAAGCACCCACTAGGTTTTGAAAGAGGCGGGAGCTTGAAGACAACTAATCACAGACATCAGAAAGAGACAGTCATCATTTTTCGGCCATCTTATAGGAAGAGTGAAAATGGAACATGTGGTGACCACTGGAAAGATTTGTGGAAGGAGAGATAGCAAAAGACAACGAGAGAAGATTCTTGACAGTCTTGTTGCATGTCATGGTGGTGTGTCAGCATACGAACTGATACATGCTGCAGGAGATCGCATATTGTGGCGAGGTAAAATCACCAATACCAGTCGGCAAGGCACTTGATGATGATGATACACTATTCGTATTCGTATTCGGCCGAATAGTTGGTCCCACTATTCATATTCGGCCGAATAGTGAAAATCACTATTCGGTACAGCCCTAGTTACTATAAACCTTCAGGAAGCAGCTGTGATGTGAAACCTTCAGCCAGCAGCTGTGGTGTAAAACCATCAGCCAGCAGCTGTGGTGTAAAACCTTCAGCCAGCAGCTGTGGTGTAAAACCTATAGCCAGCAGCTGTGATGTGAAACCTTCAGCCAGCAGCTGTGATGTAAAAGATTCAGCCAGCAGCTGTGGTGTAAAACCTATAGCCAGCAGCTGTAGTGTAAAACCTTCAGCCAGCAGCTGTGGTGTAAAATCTATAGCCAGCAGTTGTGATGTGAAACCTTCAGCCAGCAGCTGTGATGTAAAATCTTCAGCCAGTAATCCAGAAGGTGGGAGCCAAATCGAGCAACCAATATTGAGACCAAATCACATAAACATGAACATATATAAGAGAAAAGTAACAGACTAAACTAAAGAAATGGTGGGACTGAGAATAAATATAAAGAAAACTAAGATCATGACAAACAGTCCAAACCAACAACCAGTGACCATAAGTAACCAATCACTTGAAAATGTAAAACATTTCACATATCTTGGCAGTGTGGTGTCACTACTGGGAGGGACAGAGGAAGACATACAGTCACGTCTGAACAAAGCTAGAGTTGCTTTTGGAAGGATGAGGCAAATCTGGAAATCCAACAATTACTGCTCTACAAGAGCATCATTTTGCCAGTTCTTCTTTATGGAGCGGAATGCTGGAAAATGACCAAAAAGTATGCACACAAGCTGTCCGCCTTCCACCACACATATCTACGTATAAATAGTACGGTAACTATAGCTTTCGATTTTTATGTTGTCTAGTGTGTTCTTCTATCTTTCTACTTCTTTCTATGAGTGCCGTTCACAATACTTTCTGTTACTTGATTAATTCATAATATTTAACGGCCTCAAATGGTT